AAAGGAGACTCACATTGCTCCGAAGTTCCTTAACTGGCTTTTCACGCCCTTCCGAAGACTCAAATTGATGCACAACGCTCCAAAGCTAGTCAATAATTATACAAATCCATTAATATATGTTAAATTACTCATTACAATCCAATTTATAACAATTCCTAACCCCGATCGACAAGTTGACAAAATTGCCCTCGGGCCCACGCGCCCGGATTCCAAAATTTTTCGAAGAAAAGGTTTACCCATGACCTCACAAATTCAAATATATAATTTACTCTCAATTTCATGCCCAAAATCGTGGTCAAAATCCAAGAATACGAATTTTCTAGGTTTTCCCTCAAACCCCAAGTTTTCCACTAATTTTCATGCTCAAATCCGTAACAAAACCATGTATTTAACCTACAAGGGGTGAAATTAACTTACCTCATGTTTGAATGATGAAATCCCTCTCTTGGAGCTCTCCAAAATCCCCCAACTAGAGTAAAAAATGGAGGAAAATGGCCAAGACCCCCGATTTTAAAGAACCTTACTGCCTCCAGCAATACCGCACCTGCGGTCACACGACCGCTTCTGCGGTTCCGCAGGTGCGGCCACTCTACCGCTCCTGCGGTTTCTCTCCGGGCTCCCCTTTCCGCTTCTGCGCCTCAACACCCGCAGGTGCGATCCCGCTTCTGCGGCGAGATGACCGCATCTGCGGTCCTTCACCTCTAGCCCAAAATCGTATCTCCGGCAATTCTGGCCGCTTCTGCGGCTCCGCACCTGCGGCCAAATCCTCGCAGGTGCGGTTACACCAGATATCAGTTGCTTCAGCTATTCTCCCCAACTCCAATTCAATCCTTTAACCATCCGGAATCCACCCGAGGCTCCCGGGACCCCGTCCAATCATACAAACCAGTCCCATAACACATTACGGACTTGCTCGAGGCCTCAAATCACATCAAACATCACTAGAATCATGAATCGACCTCCAATCCAATCTTAATGAACTTTAGAACTTCAAACTTCTACATTCGATGCCGAAACCTATCAAATCACATCCGATTGATCTCAAATTTTGCACACAAGTCATATTCGACATTATGGACCTACTCCAACTTCCGGAATCGAAATCCGACCCCGATATCAAAAAGTTCACTTCCGGTCAAACTTCTCAAAAACCTTCAAACTTCTATCTCTGGCCAAATGACTCCAAAATGACCCACGGACCTCCGAATTCACTTCCGATCGTGCTCCCAACACCAGAATCACTATACGAAGCTATTACTATACTCGGAATCCCAAACGGACATTGATCACATTGAAATGCACCTTCACCCAAACTTATGAAATTCTTCCAAAAATGCTAATTTCCACAATATGTGCCAAAACGTTCCCGGGTCTTCCAAAACCTGATCCGGACATACGCCCAAGTCCGAAATCATCATACGAACCTGATGGAACCTTCGAATCCAGATTTCGCGGTCGTTTACTCGAAAATCAAATCTTAGTCAATTCTTTCAACTTAAAGCTTCCGAAATGAGAATTCTCTCTCCAAATCATCTCCGAACTTCCCGGAATTCAATTCCGACCATGCGTACAAGTCATAATACCTGAAATGAAGCTGCTCATGCCCTCAAACTGCTGAACGATGCGCTAGAGATCCAAACGAGTGGTCGGGTCGTTACAGATCATTTGCTAAAACTTCATAACAAAACATGCTGAAGTTTTGTAACGCAGTCTACAGTTTTGTCTTGAGTTTTATCCGAAACTTCAGTCTAAACAAGCTGAAGTTTTTTAGTTCATTTGCTAAAACTTCAGCTTAAACATGCTTAAATTTTTGTAGTGCAGTATATAATTTTCTAATGAATGTTTTCTAATGCATGCTGAAGTTATTTAGTTTAATTGCTAAAACTTCATACCCAAACATGCTGAAGTTTGTCTTGCAGTCTACAGTTTTGTCAAAAGTATTTTATTAAAGGGCACGATCGTCTTTTTAAAATGCTTTTAATAAAAAAATGGGTACGGATGCAAAAGAAAAAGCAAAATAGGTATAAATTAAAAAGGGACGACCAAATAGGGCGCCTTATGCAATTTTTGTTGCTCTAGCTCATAGTATGAAGGAACTTTGGCATTAAGTAAGAATTTCTTTAGAAAATGACCAATGAAGGTTTTTATAGAAAGCTTAAAGATGACATAATGAGTTTGTTAGGTTGGTTGTTATTTCAACAAATTGATGATTGAGGTTTGTTCTTTATAATATTTGGAACTCGTGTTTCAAATTTGTGCTTATTTTGAATAAATTTGGGCATTAAATCGTATGTTAGATTATTGAAATTCGAAAAACAAGTTATTTAAATCTTCGGGCCTTTTTCCACCTCCTCATTTCTTCTTCTTCTTCTTCTTCTTCTTCTTCTTCTTCTTCTTAATTGTAAAATGAATTTGTTAAATTTGTTGTTGTCTTGACAAACTGATAATTGTGATTTGTTCTTTATGATATTTAGAGGTTATATCTGAAATTTGATCTCACTTAGATTAGATTTAGGTATTGAATCGTATGTTGGATCATTGAAATTTAAAGAACACGTTTCTATTTTTAGATAATTTGCACTTCATATCTATTTGGCCTTAAGTGCATCTTAAATGTAATGTTTCACTTCAAACCTATTAGGCCTTAAATGCATGAAAAAATTTGTTGAACTTCAAATCTATTTGGCCTTAAGTGCATGAAAATATTTGTTGCACTTCAGACCCATTTTCCATTAAGCGCATGAAAACATTATTGCACTTCAAACATATTTGGCCTTAAATGTAATTTTTGCACTTTATACTTAATTAGTCTTTAGGTGCATTGCATGTCAAACTAAAATAGGCAGGCTTGTAATTGTTTATGCAAAATAGGTATAACTTCAACAAGCCTCAAAATTGGGTATAGATGCAAGGGATTTTTTCATTCCTATACACTATCGGAAACTTTATTACCCTAAATGTTCATGTTTAGTAAATTACCCTACCTACACAAGTTTTTGGATTCAAAATATATACATTTCACCTTAAAAGGCTCCCAATCCATTATTAGTGCCTTCAATTAAGGCTTCCTAATCCGAATCCTAACAGTGCAAATTTTCAATGGGGACCAAAAATTCTGGAATGGAGATTACGGAGCCATTGTTAGAGGAACCCTCCAAAATCCCCGATTCCAATTTGGACGATCCAGAAACTATTCCTTATTGGAAGGATTAGATCACGATTAGAGGCCTAGTGGTGAGTGCTGTGCTTGGGACTCTCTTCTGTATCATCACTCACAAACTCAATCTCACTGTTGGTATCATTCCTTCTCTCAATGTCGCTGCTGGTTTGTTGGGTTTTTTTCATCGTCAAATCATAGACCTATACTATCGGAGATCGCGTGGGGAGTGAGAGATGGAGTGTTGCAATCGGAAATCTATCGGAGATGGCGTCGAATCTGGATTCTGTCCAAAAGCTACTCGCGACGAAGACACCTTTGCCAAAGCGTCTCTCACCTCCCAGTTATATACAACTACAATATAATACCACTTAAATATAATTTTTATACAAATTTTATACAATATGTCTTTTATATATTTTATATCTAATTTATACATAGTAAAAACAAATTTCATGCAACTAATATATATTATACAACTTATNAGATAGCAGACGTCCCCCCTTTAAAAGGGGATGTTAGTACATAATGGAATAGTACTAGTATGTAAAGACTATATATCTTTTGTATATTTTGTATCTGATTTATACATAGTAAAAACAAATTTCATACAACTAATTATATATTATACAACTTATCTACAATTTTCATACATTATTTCTACTTAGTTATATACAACTACAATATCATACAACTTAAATATAATTTTTATACAATGTTGTTCAACTTTCATACAATAGTTAAATAAATAAAAGAAAAATATATAAACAACAGAGTACAATTTTTATACAATTTTACTATAATTTTACTACAATTTCTGCAGTATAATGTATGTCATGTCTTCTTCTTCTTCTTCGAGTTTCAATCTGAAATTCAGCCAAAACCAAGTCTAATCTTCACCAAAACCCCTCAAAATTGAGATATAAACTCCAAACCATATTCCCAATTATTTGCAACAACACCCAATCCAAACAAACAATGATTTTTGAAAATCCAAATTCGAATTCAAAGCTTCAAAGCTATTTAATGGCTGTCAATGGTGGAATTGCTACTCTCTTTTCCTTTGCTTTACATTACTGAAATTTGGGATTGAGAGATAAAGAGAGACGTAGAGAGAATTCTCAATTCTTTGCAACAACATCCAATCCAAACAAACAATGTTTTTTGAAAACCCAAATTCGAATTCAAAGCTTCAAAGCATTTTAATGGTTGTTAATGGTGGAATTGATGCTCTCTTGTGCAAGATACGTGAGGAGGGGGGGTGGGATGTGGAGAGAGAAATGTGGGGGAGTGGAAGATATGTTAGAGTAATTTTCGGACACTAATTATTATCATTAATTCCATTAAAATGTACATAAAGGGTAATTGAATATATAAAATGTAATTATAATAAAACTTGAGTAGGGAGGATAATATAGTTTCATATAGTGTATAGGAATATAAAAATTCCTAGATGCAAATACCCCTGGTGTCACGCGGTCCTATCACAATTACGGCCTGCCTCACTACGAATTTGGCCATTGCACAGGTCGAGCCTGTGAGCCCAGACCAATAACGAAAATATTTTGTGGATTTTCCTTTGGAATGTCCCAATGCCTCACCTTTTCTTTTTCTTTCTCCCGAACATCACCATTCACCACCACTGCCTAATGCCTCATCTTTGGCCTTCAAAAAATTGATATTTATTTTTCATTTTGTCTGATTCTCTCATCTATCACGAGTTCACGACCCAAAACGAGAAGGGAGAAAATTTGATAAGTTTGAAGCTCACCACAAAAGTAAAAGTTATAAGAAGAATATGAGTTAACATTAGCGTTATTGTTTTACATGCTAGCTCTTAAAATATATAGAAGTCAAACGATGACTTTATTTTATGTTTCTTATAAAAAAAATGCCTAAACACATTATTTCCAGATCTCGATGGATGTTGTTACATTTTCTTGACTTTCGTCACTCCTTTATTATTAATCACATTAATAGCTAGCTCTCACAATTATTAGAAACTCAATGAAAATTCTAAGTTAACCTTAAATCTACAATTATATGCTAATTATATACGATAAATTATTAGAATCTGAGGACATGCATTTTATTCGTCCCCGAATCCTGTATTTAGTAATTAAGCTGGATAAGAAGCATGTTGTTGGATTCTAGCATTTGGTATTGAGGATTGTTTCTCCACAATTTCTTCTTTCCTTGATCCATTCTCTGCTTGCTCAATATCTCCAGTATTTGAAGCTGCAATCTTATGTTCTCTTGATTTTCCCCATAGTACACTATATAGTCCACCAACAAGCAATATTCCTCCTAAAATACTGCAAGCAAGAAAAAGTGTCAGCCCTGTATGTGAGTGAGCGTGTCGAAGACATAATAATTAATTTATTACGAGTGTAGACTCTCTAAGCTTAAATTTTAAATGAGATTGTCACACAGTTTACCATGGCTAATTTTTGTTCCATTGGCTCATTTTATGCGACTTGGTGTTTAATATCAATTCCAGAATAACGACGGGGTATTATCACTTTTAGCCCGCGCCAGAAACTATTTATATCTGATAGCTGAAAAAGTGTATAAAACTTGTATAATTTTTGTATATAACATACAGAATGTACATATATACAAAAAATATACAAATTTTATACATTTTTTCGGCTATTATTTTTACATGACTATTCAGTGTCATTTTTCCAATAACAACAGGAAAAGGGAAAACAAATAATATTACCTTCCCAAACTAATGATCTCTCCAAAAAGCACAGCAGAAGATGCAATTGTAAAGATCAAGGCCAAGGGTGTAGTCATGGCCAAATAAACTGGCCCTTTCTTCTCAACAACCCATGCTTGTAAGTAAAATGTAACCCCAGTCACCACTATTCCCTGCCAAATTTATGAAACTAGTCAGCTAATTATTTAAAATATAAATTTAAGCTATACATATGTTCTTATTCAGACCCCAAGTAAAAAAGGTTACGAATGACAGATCACTTTTTCACATATGTAAAGGGTTACAAGAAAATAGCAAATTATTTTAAAATTATTTTTAAATATATAGTACTATATGATTTTGGTTTCACAAACCTCTTGTCTTATGACAATGAATAAATGTCTTGGAGCATTCAATGGTTTGCACAATCATGGAATCAACTTTTTTCCTCTTCTTTTTAACTTTTGTAGTACTTATTGCCTTGTATCTTTAATTTTCATCTTTCACTTTTAATAATAATTTAAAGTATGTCCGTCTAATAAGCAAACATAAATGTTAAAAAGTTAGGCGGAATTTGACTTACACAATAGGCAACAGAGAGCAGTCTAACATTCCATCCAAGTCTCCACTCAGATGGATCTCTAGCTAGAGCTATTGCAAAAACAAATGCCTGAATTGTGCTCATGAAGCATTGTAGAGTTGTACATAGTAGCTTTGAAGGGTAACTCTTGAGGATACGGTTCTGCCAAAAATATATAACGCGTTACAAGACATAAAACAACAACAAATTAAATTCAGTGTAATCACAAGTCTGAAAAAGGAAGTATATATGCTGACCTTAAAAGAAATGTATTAAACAAATTGAAGGAACAGTCTAGTTTACATCCACTACCAAGTGTGTTATATTTTAACACAATTTGTAATAACAAGTACTCATTGATAACAAATATAATATGACAATCTAAAAGATTAACATGTTAAATTACATTCATGGTTCAAAAGGTTTTACCAGAAGAATAAATATATAGTGTGTGTCGAGGGGAGCATCTAGCATGAAAGCTACGTACGGGTTCGTAACTGAAATTAATAATGCATTTTGTATGTGTGTCCAGGGGCGCATCGAGCATGAAAGCTACGTTCGGATTCACACGAACCCTTAGTAGCTTTCTTCCAGATCTTGTATATGTATTAAGAAGTTGGTCAAAATTTAATTGTAAACTTGATTATTATGATATTAACTTGAGATAGTTGTAAGTACCTGCATAACAAGCCAGGTAGCCCATAATGCATTAGCAAGCAACATAAGAAAGACACCCTTGATCCATGAATTGCCAGAAGCAGCAGTGTTTTGTACTTCCCCCTTATAGCTGAATAGATGGTGATGCAGCAGAAGTTTCAAGGTTGGTCCCTTAAAGAAAGCAATGGTTAAAGCTCCTCCTGCACACAACACTATGCCCATAACCTTTGCAATCCCTGCCCTTGTCCTCATTTTCGCCGTCTCCATTCTGCATATGCAATTGCAAATTAAATATTGTACAACTGTTGATATACAAATTATTAATTTCATAAACATATTATGGATGGCCACTCCTTATTAGATGAACATAAATAAGTGAATCACATAAAATTAGCTTTTATTGTATAGATGTCCACGCGAACAGAGGCAGATCTAGAATTTTAAGATTATGAGTTCCTTTCCTACAACGTTCTCAAGTTAATATACATGATAACTAGACCAACCAAGTGGATTCCAAGCTAAATATTCTTATACTCCCTCCGTTCACTTTTACTTGGCACGTTTTGACTTTTCACGCCGAAATAATAAATGAAGTGCATAATTTACCATGATACCCATATTAACTGATGCATATTTTATTGGATTTGAGAAAATGATTTGAAATGAGTAATAAATACTGTGGGTATAACACGATTTTTTTTTGTCTTCTGTTGATATGCGTAAAGTGACAAGTAAAAATAAAAATCTATTTTAGTATACCTGCCAAGTAAAAGTGAATGGAAAAAGTACTTTTAATGAATTTTTTAGTAAGAATACAGAATTTATGTAAAAATTACTAGTTCACATGAACACGTAACATTTGACTAGATACACAACGACACGTAATTTTGTTTACGCTATTACTATATTTAACCTGGATCTTACTTTCCTCAAATAGAGCAAAGAAGTAAGAGAAACAAATTCTCAGCATTGGGAAGTCAAACACTTCATCCTTCTATTTCCTTATCCTTGACCGTTAAACTAATTCATATCCATTCGATTAAATGAACCTACAGTCAATAAATTGGAGGGATGTGGTACAGATAACATAATAAACAAGCCTATATAAAGACGATTCTGTTTATCCATATCTCTAT